TTCCCGTATGTACGTCGCAAAGAGAGAGAGCGACTTGAGTATGAGAGAGAAAATGGTGTAGCCCATGAGAGTACATGCGGATGAGGGCTATACCCGAGAGTACCTGAGAGAGAGTTTATACACTCACATGGCAGAGGGTTCCGAATCCATGCATAAGCAAGTTCAATCGGCTAGAACGAGTAGAAGTCACGAAGAGCGGGAGCGAGTCCCGGCCGTGCCTCTGGTAAGATGAGGCCGTGACTTACAAAAGAGAGTTAGTGAGAAAGAGTTACGAGAAAGAGAAAATAGAGAGAAGTATAAGAGAGAGAGTAAATGAGAATTGTAAGGAAAGAATTAGAGAGAGTTACGGGGATAGATGAGTAGATGATTTACTTACTGAGCATTGTTTTTGTGCTCATCCCGTTGTTTCCAATGTTTTTGCAGGATCTAGGTGAGGACACAATCGGATGGACATCGGCACGCGAGGAGAAATGGCTACACTATCCACATAGTTTTGATAGTTTTTGTACATGATACTAACTTTTTGTAAAGAACATATATGTTTAATGAAAGAAAAATTTTGGGCCCAACTATTTATGTTATCTTCCATGTGTTTTCATTATGGATATTTTATGAGTATATGAGTAGAAAGCAGCTATTAAACTGACCCGGTGCCGCTCTGTCCACCACTCTTGTTGGTCGAGTGATCTCCCATTCCATTCTTACTCGACATCTATTGATTTAGCGTCTCCAAGCTCTTAGTGACGTAACGCACAAGGTCCTCATGGCTGGCAGCTAGCTTCTCCATGCGGTTCTCTAGTCTCTTCTCTGAGCAGTTTGGTGACTCCATGCCTGGCTCTGATACCAAAAACTGATAAGAACAAATCCAAGAGTTTAAAAAAAAGAAAGAAAAGAAACAGTAAACTTGTTGGCTTGTATGAGGAACCAACGCCTCCCAAATAACTTTAAATGAGTTTGATAATAAATGATCTCCCTTTATTGAATACTTTTGAATAATTTATATAACTCAAATGATAACAAACTTTAGAAAAATAAGGAAACAAACAACAAAATAGCAGGACTTGCAGTTGCCATGTTTACTTCCTAACAGCCAAGTAAATAAAATAACAAATTAACCAAAAGTTGAGGAAACAAATATCCAAGCACCGAAAAGATAGCCACGACTTAAATGGTTGTAACAACTTGGTTCCAAAATTGGAAGAATAATTAATTCCAATGAAATCAAAATCAATGTTTTTAGTATGTCCCATGATTAGCAAATGCGATAGTACTGAAAATGGATTTGGTTTCGATAATTGGAGGTATATATGTACAAATGAAATATACAAATTCAAGATTGATGTAAATATATCACATGGAACTATCATCAAACTCTACTGTATTTTGATGATAGTTCAATGTGACATATCAGTGTCTTAGAAGCTGTTAGTTACACTTTTTGAAAAATGTTATTTTGAAAAAGTGTTTTAAGTTGAGTTGAGTTGAATCAAATTAAATTGGATTTGAATATGAAAATGTATCTGGTAAAACATCTGAAAATTATATCAGAGTTAGATAAAATGTTGAATAGTTGTTTGGTATATTTTTTTTTAAAAAGGTTTTCAAGACAGAATAGTTGTTTGGTATTTTTTCTAAAAATATTTAGATTATTTTTTTAACCTCTTACATTTGTTAATTTAGCTAAACACCTCCACAATAAAAGTTTAAAAATTAACTAAAACACCTCAGTCACCCAAGAGGACAGTCGGCTGTTAGCCACCACCATTGGACGACAGTTGGCAGTCACCGGAACGGTACATGACCGGCTGGATCTGGCTGATCATGCGTCGATATAGCCATTTCGGCTAGATCTACAACTAGATAGCTATGGCCATCGTTAATGATCAGATCTCAGCCAAATTTTTTCGGCCAGATCGGCGCACGACCAGCAAGATCCTACTAGTCATGCACTGTTCTGACCATGTTGATCGACGATGGTTGTTGATAGGTGGTGGTGGTCTTGGGTGGATTAATTTTTAGATTGGAAGGAGAGAAAAAATGAGAAGGAGAGACAAAAAAATGTTTTTAGTTGAATAGAGTTAGATAATCTGAAAACAAGTCCCACCCTCTTTTCATTTTTAGACAAAAAAATGTTATTTGAGTTGGATTAATTTTCAGTTTGGATTGGTCCAATAAGTAAACAAACATATCATATTTTTTAATCCAAATAGGATAACAAAATAATGATCCAGAATAGTGTAACGAACAGGGGCTTAGTTCTTTAAGAATCCCTCACTAAGAACTCCAACAAAGCATGGTTATCAAAAGTCCTTGCTCATGAATGTGTATCAGAATTTCACTCCCTTGCCTTGAACTTTTTCCAAAGATCTCATATGGTGACAACTATGTGCTCAAATTTTGAGTCCAAAGAGCAGAGAATTTCTCTATTGTGCGAATAGCACTCAACGTTTCTCCATTTCTCTTAAGCTGGTTAGAGACCACTTGAACTCTTTAAAAATAACTAGAGATAGCCTTTGATTATTTCATATGGAGAGATTCAAACTCTCATCTTAAAGTTTGGCAGTAGTTGCATTTGAGATATTTTCAAACCCATCATCATCAAGGGCTTGATAGGTTGTAAAGATAGTTTTCTTGTCTCTCTTCCTTGAATCCTTTAAAGTATCCTTTTGTGCTTAGGATAGGGCAACCTCATCTTGTCTTCTGGTTCCTTGTAACCTTTCTCCACATTCTTTGATGTGCCTTGCGACTTGGGCAGTGCCTTCATCTTGATGATCCACTTATCACAAATGCTTTGGCTAAGCTCTAGAACTTGGAAATGAACCATCCCACTTGCCATCTTCAAGATTTTTATAGCCCTGATACGACTATGTTGGAAAAGAAGCAAGTGATTGAAGAGAGAATTACAATTGCTTCCCAAATTTGGCTTGTACAAAATAGCAAGAGGTCACCTCTTTAATAGTGCTCAAGGGAGATTTCCACACACCAACTTCCAACCTCTTGTTTAACCCTAATAAATGAGATATTTTTACAAGACTAATTCTAGATATAAGGCCTAACTTTTTGGGCTAATACATGGGTTTATTACTTGGGCTAGTATTTAGTTATAGCAATATATGGGTCTTAGTAGAAAGAACCCAAAAGACTTGGGCCTAAATTCAACAGTAGGTATGATCCCCCAGACAACTACGATGGGGAGAATTCGGAGAAACCTCACTAGCTAGCCAATTACACTAAGCTAGACTTTAATTTCAATTATGTATGTATTAGCAATATTAATCTAAAGGTAGCTAATAACAGGGTTCATTCAGAGGAACCAATAAGTCTCTTATATGCAGACAATTAAGAATGAATGAATTAGTATGTTTTTACTAGCTTTTGTTTTATTAAAAATAATTAAGTGTTTTGTTTACAAAATGGAGATATATATAGATTGAATATATGGTAGCAATAATTATAATCGATACAATCCAAAAAATAATGCTAATATACGCATTCCTTTGTTAATTATTGAAGAGGTATATAACATGAAAGATAGCGAAGTCCTTTGTAATTTAATCGGAAAAACTTGTGTCCAGAAGCTTTCAATACATGCAGAAGATTTTTGTTTTTCATTAAATGCCGAGAATACACTGAAGTCTAAACCATATAAGAAAGTAAAAGGCCAAATAGACTGGAAAATGAGGTCGTGTCCAGTTGCATTTCACACCAAATACTGTTTCCGATGATCAATTTTTGTGATTTTTGGTTATTTCACTCACCAAAAACCACCTCCGTTGTCACATTTCAACTCATCAGCCCTTCCTCTTCAAAACCCCTAACATCCCAACCATCAATTGTTTGCCATACACAGTGAAAGTTGAAAACCCACTCGGTGAAGGCCACAGGTCTCGGTTGAGCCGACTAGGCTGGGCCAGGATTTAAAACACAGATTTTAACACAACAGTATATTGATAGTAAACGGAATGAGAAATCCAAAAATATATTTAAAATTGAGGAAAAAAATTATTTCTAAAATTTTAGTAATATGTGTACTTAGAATATTAGGTATAATAGTGCTATTCTGGGTGCCTACGTATATTGTTTAATTTATATATTTCACTTCTTGTCGATTAATTTTATCAATGTGGTCCGTGTTAAATCTGGTAATTCTCATGAAGGTGACATTACATATATAATTGTAATTTCTTGCCTTAATTTCCGTCAGATTATCAAATTTTTTAGCTCCTCAAGCTAGTTGATCAAATAATTTCCACACCATATTCCTATAAATACCCACCAATTCGTCTCTGAGTCCATTTTTTTAATAATAGCGAAAGAAATTGTATGAAATATCTGAAAGTAACCTACCATTCAGGGAACTATAATGCATGCCCCAAAAGTAAGTGTATTGACTTGACCTTGCTAATTAGGTGTCCTTGAAAAATAGTTTTATCTAATGATATTTCAGTTTTTTAAATATTATAAAATAGATATAAGAAAGTATCATTCTATAATGCTATTATATTGTTGGAAGAAGAAGAGGTTTTTAACACAAGACTAACTAGGACCAATAAGAAGGGAAAGCTATTTAACCCTATTATTTCGAATGAATTCAAAACTTTTAATCTCTTAGATAATTAACCATTCTATAGGTTAAAACATAAAATTAGATAATATTCTTTTGTTAAATTTAATCTATGAGTTGAAGACAGATCAAGATTTCTAAATATGCCACCCTAATAAAAGAGACAGCAATCTCAGATTTCCAAAGTTGCTCAGGTTGACAATAGAAACAAATTAATAAAAGTCTATGGCACAGGCATAGATAAAGTATATATGTTTTCTAAAGACTTGGACTTTTGCGGGCTAAACATTGCAGTTTCTTAAACAGTGTCAGCTTCTGGAACATGGCCAGCAACTGTTCGAGTGGGGTGATTTCCTCGAAATTATTAATTAGAAAAACTTGATTTTCAATTGCGTTATACAGGTAATAGTGTGATGACTTTGTAAGCAAACCCAAAATGCTATCTTCTAAGCTTTCAGTAACTCTTCTGTGTGTCATGGGGTTAGCCCTAGCCCCAGTCCTTCCATCCCATGCACAAAACTCGCAACAGGACTACGTCAATGCTCACAACACAGCTCAAGCACAGGTTAATGTTGGACCGATGACTTGGGACAACACGGTGGCTGCCTATGCTCAAAACTATGCAAATCAACGTATCGGAGATTGCAGACTTGTACACTTCAGAGCAATGATGGATCCATGATTTTTGTTGAGGGGGGGCTTCTGCGGCTCTGCTAGTATTTGCCAAACAACTAGTGAAAACTTCAAAATATTACTAAACCTTAAGCAAAGAAAATAATACAATATCAAGAACTTGAGAGAAAAGAATGTAATAATACAATATTTTCCTACTTGAATAAATCTATGAGAAGCAAAATTTTGAGTAAATATGTTGAGTAAACCTTGAGCAAAACTTTCTTAATTTTTTTTTTTTTAAAATTTTTGGCTTTCAAAGATTATAATATAAATTTTCATGACTTTGATCAGACCTAACCTAAGCTAAAGTCAACTAAAACTTAAATCAAGCCAACGTTGCGTTGACTTTTAATATGAATTAATAAAAAAATGGGAATTTTCTTAGTATAGACATAGATAGTAACTCAAATTCATTTAATAATTTTAAGCAGCTGAACGGTGACGTTTGAAATGTAGGGAAGTGGTGAGTGAAGGGTGAAGAATAACATCTTTTAAAATATAGTTAAGGTTTTAATTTGGGAAAGCATGTTCATTCTTAGACATAAAAATAAAATAAATTGATAAGACCCATGTCTTTTCCCCTAAAATTAGAATAAAAAACCTCCCAAAAAAACATGCATGAGTCAACCCTAAAATAAACTAAATTGAAATGAGCAATACACGTACCTAAAATTCATAAAACAGAAAACGGAGCTAATTGTGACACTTTGAGTAGTGAAAACTTTAATAATTTTAGTCTTCAAAAGTTTTAAAAGCGAATAGCATGAGAAAGAGAAAGAGAGAATGAGAGAGTAAAGAATTTTGGGATAAAATCATAAAAAACAGGTAGATCCATGAAGAAAAAGAGTGGAGAGAGTTTTAAAATTTTAATATAATGTGAGCTTGAAAGAAGTGAAAATTTTAATAATTTTAGTCTTCAAAAGTTTTAAAAGCGAATAGCATGAGAAAGAGAAAGAGAGAATGAGAGAGTAAAGAATTTTGGGATAAAATCATAAAAAACAGGTAGATCCATGAAGAAAAAGAGTGGAGAGAGTTTTAAAATTTTAATATAATGTGAGCTTGAAATATATATATATATATATAATTCTCATTTTTTTAAAATCTTAGGGTGGGCCTGGTATATATATTAATAACAATTTTTTGTGGATCTATATATTATTATTATTATTATTTTTAAATCTGAGGGTAGGCCTAGGTTCACCCTCAAAGGGGCTGGATCCGCCTCTACTCCAGAGGTTTTTATGGCGAGAACCTTGCATGGAGCAATGGTGACCTTTCAGGCACCGTTGCTGTGACATTGTGGGTTGATGAGAAGGCCAACTATAACTATGATGCTAATACTGGCGCTCCCGACAAGTATGATAAGAACCCAGACAAAATCAACCCAAAACTTGAGCAACACACAACATAATCTGAATTCCTCTATATTGAATATCTACAGTATTGAATACAACCCAGAAACATTGATAGTAAAGCAGAATTAAGAACAAAGAAAATAATATAAACTGTAAGTTTTGAGGAGGTTACCAAGTGATTAAAACTTATGTGGAATGGGTTGCTTGTTCATTTTAGTGCAAATGAGTTGTGAGAGACATAAACAAAACATACATCAAAGCAAGTAAAGAACACACTCATTTTTACATGGTTTGGCATCATGCCTACATCCATGGGACCAGGTCTAGAGGAAGCAAATTCACTATGAAACTTATGAGTTCAAATACAGAGCAAGATAACCAAAGTTACAAAACACTCATTGTTTTCTACATGACAACTCTATCTTCTTTGGTTGAACTTCAAATCCTCATAGCAAGCTTCACGTGCACAACATCACCATGTTGAAATTGAACTCCTCTCAAATTTCAACAATGAAGACCAATCTTTGGGACAGCAACTTACACACAAGCACTCATCAACATGGAATCAGGTTCCAAAGTCATCACACAAGAACAAGGACAGAAGGTATTTGAAGCCTACCAAAGCATTGTAAGAAACCTTAACCAAAGTGAAGACCTCAAAGAATATGTAGAGAGGAAAACAGTGGTGCTCAGATTTCTTAAAGAAGACGCTAGAAAAAATATGAATATATAGAGTTCAATGCGTCAAGGGTTGGGGGACAAAAAAGTTAAATATCAACTTTTGTGTTTTTCTTTTTGTAAAAGAAACTTTGGACCTCAAACAAAAGCAAAATACCTTTTGTTACACAATGAATAAAAGGTGGACAGGTAGAAAAGTACCATAACAGAATATCATCAAGGAGTATAATTTTCCAAAAACAAAATGGGTGCATATTGTGCTTATGAGAAAAAAATCTACTAGATGCATTGTGACAACACAGACTTTGAAGTGCCAACACTGATGAAGGTGGTCACATTTAGAGAGAGTGGCCACATTGACAGATAAAGTTAAACATTTTGCAAGACTCAAAACAGGATCATAAGGTGACAAAAACACGTACAATCTCCCCCTTCGTCACTTATGATCAAAGCACAATTTTTAAACAAATAAAACCTATCTTTTATGAAGAGATAAGGTCAAGAAGACAAGTAAATGAGAAAAAAAATCACAACAACTCCCCCTCAACCATAAAACTCCCCCTAAAAAAAATAAAAAATAATAATAATAATAATAACATTAGTCAAGAAGAGGTTACCAAGAGTTTTCCAAATGAGGCAGATCAACATGTCAAACAAAAAAAAAAATCTGCACAACACAGGACACAACAAATGAGAGATTAGCAATAAAACAAAGTGAAATCTGCACAAGCACACAACCAAGCAAACAGCCAAAAAACAATTCATCAGTTTAAGAAAAACATCCACAAAATGTTCTATAAGGAAAAGTTCTGCAGAGAAAAATAAATAACGACAAAAAAAATCTTAAAATGTGATCACATAGAAGCAACAGTGATCACAATGAAAAGCAGTAAATTTTTTTTTTTTTTTTTTTTTTTTTCAGTAGTAGTCTTCTTCACTAGCAACAAAATCTTCCCCTCGTTGATCATAAGTGATAAATCTCTACACCTAGAAGATCTTCTGGTGGGGAGCTTCCAGGCAATAGTTTTTCCATGATTCTTGACAGGGGTAGGAATTGAGGAGGATCAATTTCTGGAATAGTCAAGGAAATGGTAGTTTCTTTTGCTCTAGCATCAGCAGCAACTCTAGAATTAGGTTCATCCATAGCATCTTTTTCATTAATTTTTGGAATAGCTTTAGGGATGACACGATCAAAATCTTCAGATGCAACATTTGCAGCAGTTGGATCAACATTTAGATCAATCTGAGGCTCAGATGGAATAGCACCATTCTCAGTAGGAACAGAGGCATCAAGAACATCTTTGGAGCCACTTGAAAGGCCTTTGCTCAGAAACTCAACCCTGGTTTCTTTGAGTGCAGCGTCAAAGGAATTAACATGACCAAGTAAAGTGGTGTAATACACATCCACTTTCTTGTCAAGATCATACAACAACTCATAAATCTTGGACTACCAAGAATTGGATTTTTCTGGAGGCACTTGAGAGGATGATGGAACATTCACAAGGTATAGAAGACGAGGCAGAAGACATGAGAGTCTTGGTGGATATGGTTCTAATCTTAAGCAAATGTTCATTGGATTGTTTTGGAGCCAGATAAAAATCAACAAACCTTGATATCAGAGAAGGGAAAGGTAACACAAAGGATTTTCTTTTTGACTTAGCAACAATTTTGATCAACTTATACATAACAGATGCAAGATCGATTTTCTTTCCTTGCACAATTCCATATAGGATTTGGGCTTTGTGAAGCCTAATAGAGGAATTATGCCTAGAGGGTGATCGGTCAGAGATTTCAATTTTGAAAAGAGCCTTATAATGGGAAGTGAGCGCATTGACAAGGAGGAAACCACTGTCAGGCCATTCAGTCACAACGCCACCACTAAGGTCACTGGCCATAAACTTACGCTTCTCTTTTGGGACAGCCAAGTCATCCTCATTCTTCACCATAGGAAGAATGAGACTCACAAACAATAGGTTTAATAACAACAATATCCTTAAACCTAGACTCTGCAGAAGGAGAGAAAAGGATTTGAAGTTTACCAAGAATCTTAGATTAAGGTGGAGCTTTCACCTTCCTTTTTCCTTTGGTGATTTCGACTTGTTTCTTCTTCTTCGCTTTGGATTTAGCAAGAGACCCTTTTAAGCGCTTTAGTTTCTTGATGAGAGGTTAATCATCAGTGTGGATCTTGAGTTTTGAGAGTTTGACACTGGTTTTGAAGCAGAGGGGGTGCCTTCACTTGAAGCAGAGGAGTGCGCATATTCCTAGGCTTGTGAGGACTACTCTGATCTTGTTCTCTTCTTTGATTCAGGAACCTCCCTAATGTCATCAAAAAACCATTGTTGATGCTCCATTGAATCACCCAAAAAGGTTAGTTATGAAGAGAATTTTGAGAAGATAAAAAAAATTGAAAAACGCCGACCTAGGTTTGATGGCACAAAAGAAAAAAGAGGTGGCTTAAAAAGAAAAATTTGAAGCCCTAGAAAAACATGGGAAATTTTCACTGGACACAAAGTGGGCACATAGAATTGTAATGTGTGCATAACAAATAATAATAATAAAATCACACATGTGGTAACATGACAAAGCAAGGTGCACATAGTGAACCAATGATATAACACAACTGCAGGGCAGACACTTAGGAGAGAATTCAAAGACACAAAATAACAGGCATGTGAGCACATTGTAATATACTGTATAGCTAGTAATTCTTTAAGAAATATAAGATAAAATCCACTAAATGACTTTTACAAACATATATACATAATGTAAATCTGAAAATTCTAATTTTAATTCATATAAATATATACACAAAATACTGATATACTTTAGTAAGCATAAGGTAATCTTGAATAGTGCTGCCAAACTCCTCCGCTTCTTGACTTCCTACCCGGTCGTAAATCATCTAGTACCTACAAAACAGTAAAATAACGGAGTGAGCGCTAATTGCTCAGTAAGTAAACCAAACTGCATTACTGTGTTTCCTCCGTTACTCATGTTCTGATTTTTTTTCCTTTTCTCACTCTATTCTTTGATTATATTCTTCATTCTTTTTTGATATTCTGCATTCTTTTCAGATACTCTGATTTGCTACTTACCAACGTGCAAAGTCAATGAATAAAACTGTACATCGTCGAGCACATAAGAAATACTGAATCATGTAAGTAGAATAATACATATGCAGAATAATAAATTTTCTTGAGAAAAGAACTTTCTTTTCTTTCCTGTTTTTGTTTCTCTTATACTGTATCTCTTTCTTTTCTTCTATGTTTCTATTTCTTTTCTTTCTTCTTTCTAGTTTGCCGATCAGACTAGGTTGATGCATGGATTTGGAACCCTGGCCGTGTGAGTGGGTATAGTCCTCATCTACATGTACTACTCACGGACTGTACAAGTACTTTATCTCTCTGCCGTGGCCGCTTGCTCATGGCGGCGTGCATGTAGGTATGCTCTACTGGGTATAGTCCTCATCCACATACACTACTCACGGATTGTACAAATACTGTATCTCTCTGTTGATGCTGCTTGCTTGTGGCGGCGGGTACGTAGGCATCTCTATCACTCACGGGTTCCCCATCGTAAAAACCTTATATCATAGCATGCTATAGAAAGAGAATAGAAAGTGATACTATACACATTTCAACATGAATTTCCAAGCTATGGAAATTCTACACTTGCATTCTTTAAAAACATACACTTTCCATAAATGAACATATCATTTCATCAAGACCATTTTTTGGATGCATAACAAGTTCATAGAAACATATCATCCTTAGGCTTGTTTATACAAACACAAGCTCATACTTGGGTAATATATAACATATTACACATAGCCTCCATGGTCATTCATTACATCAAATATCTATGTTCCTACAATCATTAAATAATCACAAAGACCACTCATTCAAACATGCTTCACAACCCTTTAAGCATCATTTTCATACTTGGAATCAATTATAGATTATTAGGCTAAAAATAAACTAATAAATTGGAAGCACTTTTGACGTAATCATTCTGCACATGTCATATTTAAGAAATCATATCTTGAGTTATACATGCCATGTTGCTATGGTCTTGGTCTCATTTTAAAGCTTAGATAAAGGGCTACAACTTTTGTGTTTAGGTCTCAACCTAGTTCGATAGGTAAGATTCCTAAAAATCACTCAGAAGGCCACGGATTTGACAGAGCAACCATGGTAACATGCCTACTTTAAGGCTTTTCCATACCTATTTACCTCCACTTACTCCCTAACCTTTCCTAACCATTCTCCCTTGTGAAAACATGTTAAAAGATCAATAATAACCTCCCTTGTAATATGTTAAAAACCCATGATGCGACTAATTCCATTGATTGTCATCAAACTTCAATTCTTGCCTTTCT